CTCTACCACAGAGCCACACTCCAGTACTAGTTTGTGTCTGTGTGTGCATGCATGCATGTACCTACAGTAATGGGGCTTGAGCCCAACCCCACACCTTTTTATATATTTATTTATTTTTAATTTTTTAGTTATCAATGGACTTATATTTTATTTATTTATATGTGGTGCTGAGAATCAAACCCAGTGCCTTACATATGCTAGGCAAGCACTCTACAACTGAGTCACAATCCCGGCCCCTTTTTATTTTTTATTTTGAGACAAGGTCTCACTGAGTTGCCCAGGCTGGCCTTGAACTTACCATCCTTTTGCCTCAGCCTCCCAAGTCTCAGATTTCAGGAATATGTCACTGGGCCTGGCCATAGAAAGGCATTTTTTGAGACACAAACAATGCCCCATAACCCAAGCCCAATCAGGAACTTCAACTGCCCCTTGGCAATTCTGTAATTCTATCGACACCCAGACCCAGAGCTATACACACCTGCTGGCCCACAAAAGTTCATATACTTCACTTCCACTCACAGCCTAGTCCACACACACATACTCTCATTCACACACTCACACTCAAGTCCAAAGTCAGGGTAGAGACTAGAAAGAACACTGAAGCAACAAAAGGCACAGTCCAGTATCCCCAGGAATTGCCAACTGCCCACTGGCAGGGGTGCAAGAATGGGAAACAGGAGACCAGCAGGTGGACACTCCTTCACCAGCCCATTCCTGCAAGCACTGAGGAGGATAGGCAATACTCACCAAGATTACTGAAGGGTGCTCAGCACTCAGTGGCAGTTTTCTGAGAAGAATCAGTGACTACTAAAATGCAATAGGTTAAGTGAGAATAAAAATCAAATGTGAAGAAGGTCTTTAGGGTTATAACTAATTCCTTTCAGAAGGCAGAACAGAAAGGAACCAATCCCTCCCCACACGCAGATTTCACATTAGGACCTCCACTGCATGACAGGTTGGTGGTCATTATCAAAGCATCAGCCCCCTCAGTGTGAGGGCTCCTGTCAATGAGGAACCTTCAGAGAAGTCAATGCCTTGAACTTCACACCCACTTCCCAGGCACATCTGACTATAAATCCTGGCTTCAACATGCAACCATAACCCTCCCCTGTGGCTCTTTCCCCCTTTTATCTCTACACAAACCTAACACTGGATCATGTTACACCACACTTGATCCACCAGCTGAAATAAGGAGACCCAAACGCCCTGCTGCTGCTCAGAAAGAGGGACAAGGCAGCTGTCTGTATTATAAATGGGAGCCACTCCGATTAAAGATTCAGATAACCCACTTAAATAATTTACAATCCTGCCTTCATAAACAGGCTACACAAAAGACACTGGACATGCTGCCTCTGAAAATTAGACAAAATCCAAGATAATCGAGTTGCTACCATCAAAGACAATAATGTGATTGGCCTAGGAGTCTCACAGTCAGTATTTTGAAATCCTAAGGTAGAAAGTACAGAAATTTATGGTCTTTACTGTTATTATCTGGCTTATCTGAACTGTCCCTAGGGATTTAGAAAAGTGATGAACCTTTAAAAAAGAACCCTTATCTTTTAGATATATATACTGAAGTATTTATGGATGCAACTACATGATGTCAGGAATCTGCTTCAAAAATACAGGGAGGTCCTGGGCGCATTGGTGCCCACCCAGTGACTCAGGAGGCTGAGGCAGGATTGTGAGTTCAAAGCCAGCCCTAGCAAATTAGTGAGGCCTTGAGCAACTCAGCAAGACCCTGTCTCTAAGTAAAATACAAAAAAGGGCTGGAAGTGTGCTCAGTGGTTAAGCTCCCCTGGGTTCAATCCCCTGTACCAAAAATTAAAAATTAAAAAACAAAACAAAACAGGGGAGGAACTGGGCAAAGCAGCACATGCCTTTCCTCCCAGTGACTTGGGAGGTTGAAGCAGGATGATGCCAAGTTCAAGGAAAGCCTTAAAAACTTAGCAAGCCCTGTCTCAAAATAAAAATTAAAAGGGCTGGGGAAGTAGCTTGGTGGTAAAGTGCCACTGGGTTCAATCCCCAGTACCGAAAAAAGGGAGAAGAAAGAGTTTATAGATAAAGCCAGATTGCTGAAACTGTGGAGACTAAGCAAAGGCTTGGAGCTCACTAAACTATTCTGTCTAATTTAGCATGTGTTTCCATTTTTAAAAGTTTTTAAACTGGGCACAGTAGTGCATGCCTGCAGTCCCAATGGCTCTGGAGGCTGAGGCAGTAGGACCATGGGTTCAAAGCTAGCCTCAGCAAAAGCAAGGCGCCAAGCAACTCAGTAAGACCCTGTCTCTAAATAAAATACAAAATAGGGCTGGGGGTGTGGCTCAGTGGTTGAGTGACCCTGAATTCAATCCCTGGTACCAAAAAAAGAGAGTTTTTAAGTAAACTAGGTTTGGTGGTACATGCCTGTAGTTCTAGCAATTCAAGAGGCTGAGGCAGGAGGATTGCAAGTTTGAGGCCAGCCTCAGCAATTTAGTAAATCTCTCAGCAACTTAGTGAGACTCTGTCCCAAAACTTAGGGGAAAAAAAAGAAGGACACAGCTCAATGGTAAAGTAACTCTGGGTTCAATTCCAAGCACCAAATAAATAAATAAATAGATCTCAAGATATCTATCATGGGCTGAGGTTGTGGCTCAGTGGTAGAGCGCTTGCCTAACATGTGTGAGGCACTGGATTCAATCCTCAGCACCACATATAAATAAATGAATAAAATAAAGGTCTAATCATTAAAAAAAAAAAAAAAAGATATCTATCATGAGGGGTACCACTCCTACTTTTCTCTAAACTATTCCACTAACAAATATTTCTGGTCTTTGCTCCTCTATAATGTCTTCTGACTTGGGACTGGGAAAAAAAAAAAAGGAAACCTGAGTGGTAATGCACAGATACAAAAAACAACCTCTCATTACACTGTACATTATCTGATCCAAAATAGTAACTAAGATAGCTCAAAGGAATGGAGAGCTTCTCACCACCACCCTGAAAACTTATCCAGTTCTGGGCACCTAAATCAGCCTGTACTGCTTCTTATAAGCAGTGAGAGAACAGACAGAAGACCACACCACAAGATCCCCTCCACACTCCCAACCCACCAAGTGCTGAGACGCACTCACCCCCTCTTCAGGTTCCACCAAGAACCATCAAGCAAAGAATTCTGACCCATTTCTACTTTGTGATTACAAGCTCAGTCCCAAACAGAAATCCAAAATTTGTTCCAACAAGATCAGCTGGGAAGATCATGAAAAAAAAAAAAATGCTTCTAAAGAGAATTTCACAGAAGTCAGTATGATGAAACTTGGCAGAACATATTCTGAGCCACCACACCTAAGAAGCCAGCTATGGGTGAAGAGCCAATAGACCTAGTTTTTTCCCTGCTCTAGCACTATCTGTGGGTCTCTGGGAGAGCTACATAGCCTTCTGGGCTTCCAAGCATGTGAGCTGCAAAGTGGGGATGAATCCTGCTTGCCCAGTTCCCACCTTGGAGAACCATGGCACCTATTCAGTGAAAACACAAATGGGCAGTCAGGTAAAGAAAAGCAGATGTGCAGCTGGCCTGACACTTCTGTGTTAAGGAAGCAAGAGGAAGTTTGGGGAAAGACACATCACCAGTGGCAAAAGGGAAAGGCCTTAAAAGAACCTGGACCAGCAACCACAATTCAGCTACCTCCACAGAAAGTCATCAGTGACACATTTCTGCCAACTAGACCCACCCGAACAGTATAGGGCAGCCCAGAGYTAAGCAGGTGAGCACCTGGCCGACCTCCATACTGATGTGCAGGAGGTTGTAGGCCTCAATGGTACTGTCGGTACTGGGGTAAAGGGGAGGATACATGGGTCCCTTAAGAGTTTCTTTTTAGTTCTTTTTTGTTGTTGTTTATGTTTTTGGTACCAGGGATTGAACCCAGGGGTGCTTAACCACTGAGCCACAACCCCAGCCCTTTTTAATATTTTATTGAAGACAGGGTCTCACTGAATTGCTTAGGGCCTCACTAAATTGCTGAGGCTGGGTTTGAATTCACGATGGTCTCCCTCAGCCTCCACAGTCACTGGGATTGAGTTCTTAATGTTGCCAGGGCTGGGTGATGGGGCACGACTGTAATCCCAGAGAATAAGGAGGCTGAGGCAGGAGGATGGTGAGTTCAAAACCAGCCTCAGCAATGGACCAGCTAAGCAAATCAGTGAGACACTGTCTCTAAATAAAATAAAAAATAGGGTCGGGATGTGGCTTAGTGTTGAGTGTCCCTGAGTTCAATCCCCAGTACCACCCCGCCCCAAAAAAAGAGTTATGGTTGACACCCTCAGCAGCAGTGTGTCAATTTTACCTCTTGAAGACTCCTGGCTCCAACACCCATATGTATTTGAACACCCACTTAACAAATGTTTGCATGTGTAAGAAACATGAAAATGAGCAGATCAGCACTTTGGGGATTTCCTAGCACTGGAGCAMACCTTTAAAAGTGAACTTGGTCTCCTGGTTGATGTCTTAAGAACACACACAGCCTGATGTCACCTCCACCTGAACTCCAGCAAGTGCTGAGGGAGACAGGAAGAGCTCAGTCTTGAGATCAGTGTCCCCACAGTCACAGGCGGTGTGCGTGGGACCCTGTGCGCACCTGGCATCCAGCTGAGCATCCCACCCCTATCGCAAAGGTGGACAAGGCCCTGGTGGAGTTCTGCTACACTTGGCACGTGGCCTTGGGCTCCCATTCCTCCCTTCCCGAAACTGCTCACAGAAGGTACAGAAGGGAACATTTTTTATTCCTTCAGTAAGCGCTGTCTCCCAGACTAGAAAAGACGAAATCTAGAAGGACCAGTGCCAAGCATGCACAGCAGCCACCGCGCTCCAAACAGGCGGCTAAGGGTCTGGCCTCTGCGGTGCTCCTTCCAGCGGCCCAAGGTGGGCACCGGGGGCCCAGCACGCACGCTGCTGGTGCAGGTCCTGATCCGGGGAACTCAGCCCAGAAAGGAAACGCCACCCGAGCTGAGCGAGGCCGGCCTGTTACCTGCTCTGCCCCGTAGACGGTGGCGAACTGGACGAAGTCCTCCATGCGGACGAAGCCGTCCCCATCCGCGTCCAGGGCGTCGAACACAGCGCGGAGGCGCGCGTCGTCCTCCAGGCCGGCCGCGGGCTCGCCAGGTGGCGGCGGCGCGGAGCTGGGGTCAGCGGACGGGCCGGGACGCCCCTGTGGCCGCTCGCCCACCGCGCGCTCGAGAGCTGGGCACGGGCCGCGGCGGGAGGGCGCGCAGAGCGCACGGTCCCCCGACTCCGCGGCCCCGCTCGCCGGCTCGCCGCGGCCCGGCGGGGAGGCCGGCCGGCCCGGCTCCATGCTCCGGCCGGGCCGAGCTAGGCGTGCGGCGGGCGCGGGCGGCAGACAAAGGCGCTCAGGGCGCGGCGGCGGGCGCGGGCATCCCCGCGGCGGCGCGGGCGGGCGCGCGCTGGGCGCCCGGGTTGCTCGGGCTGGCGCTCGGGCCCTGCTCCGCCCTCGCCCATCCTGCCCGCGCCTCAGCGGCCCCCGGCGCCGCGGCGCGGCGGGCGCGGAACCATGGCGGCGGCGCGGCCGGAGGGCGGAGGGCGGAGGGTGGGCGGCGGGCGGCCGCGAGGCCGGTGGCCGAGCGGAGGCGAGAGGACCGGGCGAGAGATGCTGAGGTACCGAGCGTGATGTCGCACGGCCCCGCCCCATGCGGTTGACGTCAGCGCGCCGCGCCTGTGTCCCCGCCCCGCCGGCGGGATATAAAAACGGCGGCGGGGGCAGGGCGGATGCGAGTCTTGGCGGGATCTGGTAGCTGTCTGGGTGGTGCGGGTGACTGACCGAAGGTGCACGGTCCTTGCACGTGACGACCCCAAAGGGCCAGCAGAGGCGCTCACTCCGGGCTCCCAGGTAGGTGCAGGGAGCGCTGCGCTGCAGGCGCCGCGCAGAGGTCGAGTTGCTGCAGAGGTCTCGCGGGAGGCAGACGGAGCACCTTCCCGAGTGTGCGGGCCGCACAAATGAGGCCACCTGACTCGCACCTCAGCACGCGCGGCAACGGGCTGAGGCCCTCGTTTTAAATCTGTTCACGGGATTTGTATTTTGGCGGGGGGAGTACCCAGGGGCGCTTTGCCACTGAGCCACATCCCCAGCTTTATATATATATATATATATATATTTTTTTTTTTTTTTTTGAGACAGGGTCTCGCTAAGTTGCTTAGCGAGAAAATGGCAATAACTCTAAGTTGCTGAGGCTGGCCTGAAACTTGCGATCCTCCTGTCTCAGCTTCCATAGCTTCTGGGATTACAGGCATGAGGAGCTGATCTCTCTGGTCAGCCTCCCAAGCCCTTGGCTGTCGTTAGCAAGTGGCCTCTGCCCCTAGTGTCACTGTCATCAAAGGGACAGGGTCATGGACACCAGGCATGGCAGTGGCAGAACAGGTGAGCATCCCCCGCCCCCAGCAGGTAGCCAAATTTAGCGTTCCTGAGCGAGTGTGAGCAATATTTTTCACACTTGGCCAACAGCTCCAGGTGTGGTTTCCTAAACAGCTTTGGCAAGAAACATGCTTCCAGGTGTACACCCCAGGAGCCTGCTAATTAACTGAGTCATCTCCCATGGCAAAATTCCCAACATGTAGCACCAGACTTGGTGAGTCTGGCTTTGAGAAAAGAAAGATGAGACTCAAAGTCAAGGGTGAAATGTTTTCTCTCATAAGCGGAAGCTAAATAAAAAAAGGGAGGGGTCTTGAAAATAGAAGGGAGATTAGTACAGTAGAAGTACACCAAGGGGGAGAAAGGAAGGGCGGGAAGGAAAAGCAGGGGAATGAAATTGACTAAATTATTCTAGGTGCATGTGTGAATATACCGCAGTGCATTCCAATCTTAAATGTAACTATAATGCATCAATTAATGAATAAATGACCAATATTGTAGAGGAAGGGTAACAGACCAAGGAAGAGAGAGAAGGAGGTAGTCCAGGGGGATTGAAATGAAAAAAAGTGTTATGTGCCTTTATGAATATGTCAAAATGAACCCTACTATTATGTATAATTGTAATGTTCCAAATCTCTTTTAGAAAACAAAAAGGTAAGGAGGGGTTCCCTTCTCAAACCTTATTGCCATTTTCTTGTAAGAGATGTGTCCATCCATGAGGAAGATGCTACATTCAAAGAAAAAATCACCCCCAGTTTTGTCAAGAGCTGGGCTTTAGCCAGGTAGCAGCCTCAGAGGCAGTTGTAATAAAGGATCAGCCTTTGTAAATGGGGTGTAGGTAAGGTAACAGCTCCCTCTGATCCTAGGTGCTAGATTCTGAGGGACAGGTGCTCCTGCATGCCAGTGCTGGAAAAATGTCCATTGCTTACCTGGTAGACCTGCCCAAGTGGAACCACCACGTGGAAAGTATGCACCTTCCTGCTAAACGGCCATGCTTGTGATCCCAGCCACTCCAGAAGCTGAGGCAGAGAGATCTCCAGTTCAAGGCCAGCCTCAGAAAAATAGCAAGTGCCTGACTTAAACTAAAAAATTTAAGTCAGTAAATTAAAAAACTTTAAAAAAAAAAAGAGCTGGAATGTGTCTCAGTGGTTAATCCTGAGTTCAACCCCTCATACACACAAAAGGTCACTGTGTGAAAGATGAAAGGCACAGGTTCCTGTCCTCTGAGAGGACCCGCCCTCTCCCTTGAGAGTGTACCCCTTCCCCTTTCCTATTCCTTCTAATAAACTCGTATCTATAACTCTGAAAGAAAAAAAGGCAACATAAGAAATGAAAAACAGGGTTAGGGTTGTGGCTTAGTGGTGGAGCGCTTGCCTAGCATGTGTGAGGCACTGGATTCGATTCTCAGCACCATATATTAATTAATTAATTAATTAATTAAAGATCCATCAAAAACTAATAAAAAAATTTTTTTTAAATGCAAAACAGGGCTGGGGATAGAGCTCAGTTGGTAGAGTGCTTGCCTTGCATGCACAAGGCCCTGGGTTCAATCTCCAGCACCAAAAAAGCGGGGTGACTCATAGTAGGATAGGGAGGGAGGACATGGAAGGATTAGATTAATTCTAGATAGGGAAGAGGGGTGGGAGGGAAAGGGAGGGGCAGAGGATTAGCAAGGATGGTGAAATGTGATGGTCATCATTATACAAAGTACATGTATGAAGACTTGAATTGGGTATCAACATACCTTATATACCAATAGAGATAAGAAAAATTGTGGTATATATGTGTATTAAGAATTGTAATGCAGGGGCTGGGTTGTGGCTCAGTAGTAGAGCGCTCGTCTAGCATGTTCGAGGCCCTGGGTTCGATCCTCAGCACCACATAAATAAAATATAGATATTGTGTCCAACTACAACTAAAAAATAAATATATTTTAAAAAATTGTAATGCCAAAACAAAAACGAAGTACATGTATAATCGCATAAATTGGCGTGAACATACTTTATATAGAGAGACGAAAAATTGTGCACTGTGTGTGTAATAAGAATTGTAATGCATTCCACTGTTGTGTATTTTTTTTAAAAAAACAAAAACAAAAATCAACATGTTTCGAGAATCAAAATTTTTTAAAAAAACATTAACATCAACACTGTCCAGCTCAGTCAGCTGTTCAGACCTGCCACGTCTTCTTTGTGGTCTGTTAAGTTACTTAGAACCTTGCTAAATTGTCTAAGCTGGCCTGAAACTTGTGACTCTCCTGCCTCAGTCTCCTGAGTCACTGGAATTACAGGTGTGGCCACAATGAGCAGCTCCCCACCTATTTCCTTGTCATCTTTATAAGTCAATTTGAGGGCATGGGGAATTGACCAGGGCTTCATACGTGTTAGGCAGGCGTCTTGTCACTGAGCTATGCCCCAGCCTACCACAAAGACTTAAAGGTAGTTTGAGTAGGTAAATGAGGGTCTGTTTCCAAAGTGGGCACCAGCGAGCCAGCACTGAGGACCGCATAGGGCTAGGTACCTGCACTGAAAGTCCTGCATCCTGGAGCTTACAGTTCAAGATGGAGCTGGCCCCGTGGGAAGGTCCAGCAGGATGGGTAGAGGGCCTAAGTGGCCACAGTACTCTCCCTGGGAGCCTGCGGCCCAGAGGGGCGGAGCTCTGCCTAGGTTTTGCTGTCTCCTGTTGGTTTATTTAAAGAAATGTACCTTTAGCTGTCCCTACTTCCCTTTGTTCTCTGGAAAGCCACCATATATGAAGTTTACCTTTGTCCCTCAGGCCAGCCCCTTCTCCTCACCTTTTGTTTGTCAAGGGGCTGTGGATCTGTCACACCCAGATGTTAAGGGCTGGTAACCATKTGTTCTGTTTCCTCTTCCCTTTTCTTCCATCCTTAGTACTTTTACATTTAAAGCTAAATACTGTATTTTGAAAATGGACCACTACACTTTCTCTCTCTCTCTCACAGTGAATCAACAAACATCCATACCATGGAATACAGTTCAGGAATAATAAGGAAGGAACATGAACTCACACAGCATCATGGATGAATCTCAAAACATCAATATTCAAGAAAATGAGCCAGCAGACAAGGGTACGCATTATGCAATTCCAGTCCTGTAAAATTCTAGAAAATGCAATTCAGCGCCCAGTTCAATGGCCATACCTGTAACCCCAGTAATTTAGGAGGCTGAGGTAGGAGGATTATAAATTCAAGGTCAGCCTGGGCAACTTAGTTATATCCTGTTTCAAATTTTTAAAAATACTTGGGGAATAGGGGAAAGGAAGAGGTGATGGGAATGTCCAGTAGACAGGACTTCAGTTTCCTGTGTTCAAATATGAATACATGACCAGTGTAACTCCACATTATAGGCAACCACAAAAATGGGAAGTTTTACTCCATGTATGTATGATGTCAGAATACATTCTGCTGTCATATATAACTAAAAAGAACAAATAAATAAAAAAGAAAATAATAAATAAAATGAAAAGAGCTGGGGATGTAGCTCAGTGGGAGAGTGCCCCTGGGTTCAATCCCCAGGGTTGTGGGGTGGAAGGAAGTAAGGAAAAAAAATAAAAAGAGCTGAGGTTATAGCTTAGTGGCAGAGCACTTGCCTTGCACATGTGAGGCACTGGGTTCTATCCTCAGCACCACGTAAAAAAAAAAAAAAAAGAACTATAGGGACAGAGAACAGATTAGAGGTCACCTGATGATAGGGCAGAAATGAAAGGAAGACATGACCAGCAGGCAAAGATTGGACAGGTGATGTGCATGCTCATAACCTTGACTGTGACGTCTCAGGGGCCCAAATAGCGGACACAACTCATTCAAGAATACACTCTGCATGTGTGCAGTCTTTCATGTCCCTCATGAGAAGGCTGCCTACATTGTGCCTTTTAACATGTATTCACCAAGCAAAGTGAGCAAGAAGTCAATTTTAGGTCTAGGTCACACTCCCTGCTGGCCTCTGCTATGTGTTTACTGATATTTTATTCAGTGGGAAGAAATTTTTTTCCTCACCTTCAAAATTGGTAAAGTACATTTTTCTCAGAGTAAAAATAGAGCATGAGTTTGTAAGGTACAGTTTAACTCCTCCTGACTCAGCCCAAGGTTTTGCAGATTTTCCTATTTTAACATCTCAGTTGAAGTTGCTGGCACCAGCTTCCTGTGATGACAAAGCATCTCCAGCCACCCCGGAGCTCTTCAGAGCCCACATGGCACCCACCATGCCTCCCACACACAGTGCGGCCTGTAGGGAGGCTCCTAGCCCTGGAGCTTCCTTTCCATGGCAGCTCAAAGCTTTTGACTGGGGCAAGGAATGCCTGTTCAAGTCACTGCCCACTTCATTGTCCACATCTCATGAGATGGTAGGGAGTTAAACGTTAATTTTTTATATCTCTGACACCTGTTTCTCATTCCTTTTTTGGCGCCATCTGCCATCTTTCCACTACTCTCTCCAGGTTATCCATATCCCCTGGCACCAGGCAAGGGGCCCAAGACCCATGCAGTCACATGGGACACACACAGAGGTTTATCAGCATGCTTGGCTGATATAAGTCTATAAGTGACCTAGGTTGGTGGAGGACAGGACCCAAAGTGGAGGATCTGGGAACCCAATTTTCTTTTTTCTTTTTGGTACAGGGATTAAACTCAGGGGCACGCGACTACTGAACCACATCCCTAGACCTATTTTATATTTTATTTAGATACAGGATCTCACTGAGTTGCTTAGTGCCTCGCTTTTGCCGAGGATGGCTTTGAACCTACAATCCTCTTACCTCAGCCTCCCCAGCCACTGGGATTACAGGTGTGCTCCACCAAGTCAGRCCTTGGGAACCCAATTTTGTAGAAGCAGTACTCTCCAAGCCTTGGCTTCAGGGGGAACCACCATATTTACATTCACAAGATGAATTTATTGAGGGAACTGACACATGATCCAAGCAGAGCAAACCATCTTTCCCAAGAGTTTGATGTCATCTGGCAGAAGGAGCAACCTGAGCAGGTGGCAGCTGGGCTGCGATGCCCAGGGGGTGAGGGAAGGAAGGAAGGGGTAGGGATAAAGGTTAGTGGTGAGCTCTGCTCAGCTTGCACAAGGCCCTGTGTTTGATCCTAGCACAGAAAGAGTAGAAGGAAGGAAGGTAGGTTGTTTTATGTCTGGGTTCCAAAGGTCTGTGTCCCAGCTTCTTCCCAAAGTTCCAGTGCACTGCCCCACCCCACCTGGGAGCCTGTGAAGGACCCAGAATCTCCCAGATATTCCCCCCTTGGATCTAAAGGGCCAGAGTGGGTCTGCCACATGCCTCCAAGAGAAATGCCTGATGTGTCCTAAGGGAAAAACGGGGGCCTACACACCAGCCCAGATCTGAGGCCAGCACAGGAAGTTCTAATCTGGAGACCCCACCTGCCCCACTCCTCCCCAGTTTCAGTAGGCTCAGGCCTCAGCACAGAGCCAAGCACAAGTAAGATGCTTCTGGCTGCCTGGACATGCATCCTGGGGAAGGGGCTTGACTGGTGCCAGGCAGCATTGTCTTGTCTCATAGGATAAAGGATGAAATGATGTGGAGGTCAGAGAAACACTTGCTAGCCTCCAGTGTTGCAGCTGGCAAGGTTCTCTGGGATCCATCATCTCATGCTCCCCACCTCAGTCCAGGAGCCTACATGGACACAGGCAGAGAGAAGACAGGAAACCACTGGAGACATCAGCTCCTCCTAGGAGAGTCACATTTTAAAATAGGGTTTTAGTAGATTACTGAGGCTAGCCTGGAATTTATGGCTCTCTTGTCTCAGCCTCCCAAGAGATTGGAGTCACAGGCATGGCCACTGTACCCAGCTCAGCTCACATACTTCTGGGTCCCCCAGCACTTAGCACACACAGTGCTCACTTGGTGAGTGGACTAATGTCCAAGTGCGAAGATCATCCTCAGCTGTTTACCATGGCCCCATGGGGTGACAGAGCTTTGGCAGGTTTCACAGAGTCCATGCTGGGAAGGGAGGAGGGAGAAGGGCAGAGAGGCAGACCCTAGCATCTGGGAAAACCTTCCAGCAACAGGAAAGTGTGGGGAGTAGGTGCTGTCCCAGGGTTTGCAGCACATGCGGGCCAGAGCTGGCTTGCTCAGGGTTACCATGGCAACAGAAGTCGGTGGTGGAACTCCCCAAATCATCACCATTTATTCTGAACATGTTTAAGATTCTCTCTGCTTTATGAAACATGAGCACACCCAGATGCTCACTGCGGCCCCTGGATCCCAGTGACATCTGGGAAATAATCTGCACACCTCATGACAGGGTGGAGTAAAGAAGTTGGGATTTGTTTGCTTGTTCTTTCAACAGATGCAGCACACAAAGCCTTTCAGCACATTCACCTTCTTCCTGAACCATTGTTGAGGATATGGTGCTTTGCATCTTGGCTCTGGGTGTTGTTTTTATGTATAGTTTTCAAAGGATGAAATTTTGTTTGCTCAGAACCTCATACATAAGAGGTAGTGTTACCACTGAGCCACACACCCAGTCACAGAGGATGAATTAAACAGCTTCAGCCATGGCAGGGGGAAGCTTAGCATTGTCAGGGCCTGTCAGCTTCCACAGCCAAGGATACAGAAAATTCACTGCCCAAGGCTCATATAGATGAAATTATCCTTCTTGGGTTGGGTGGGTAGCTCAGTAGTAGAGCCATTGCCCAACATACACCAGTCCTGGATCTGACCCCCAGCACCACATTAAAAAAAAAAAAAATACAAGTTACCCTTCCTTTCAAAGAACCTGGCATCTTCTCTATCTCTAAAGATAACCAGTGGCTTGGGAGGCTGGGGCAGGTGGATTGAGACTTCAGAGCTAGCCTCAGCAAAAGCAAGGTGCTAGGCAACTCAGTGAGACCCCATCTCTAAATAAAATACAAAATAGGGCTGGGGATGTGTCTCAGTATTCAAGTGCCCCTGAGTTCAATCCCTGGTATATATCTCCATAAAACTAGGTGCAACCATGCATGCCTGTAATCCCAGCAACTCAGGAGGCTGAGGCAGGATGATCACAAGTTCAAAGCCAACCTCAGCAACTTAGTTAGGCCCTGTTTAAAAATAAAAGGAGCTGGGCTGGGGTTGTGGTGCAGTGGTATAGCATTTGCCTAGCACACATGAGGCACTGGGTTCAATACCCAGCACCACATAAAAAAAACTAAATAAAATAAAAATGTATTGTGTCCATCCACAACTAAAAAAAATTTTTTTTGAGAGAGAGAGAGAGAGGAGAGAGAATTTTTAATATTTATTTTTTAGTTCTCAGCGGACACAACATCTTTGTTGGTATGTGGTGCTGAGGATCGAACCCGGGCCGCACGCATGCCAGGCGAGCGCGCTACCGCTTGAGCCACATCCCCAGCCCCCTAAAAAATATTTAAAGAGCTGAGCGTGTAACTCACTGGTTAAGTACCCCTGGGTTCATCCCTGATACCAAAAAAAAGATAATAAAGAATAAAAAATCCTGAGGGTGTGGCTCGGTGCTTATCTAGGCCAGTTCCTATAGCCAGGCTTCGTTCAACATCATGTCTCCAACATGACTATGGAAAGACATACAGCCCTGAGGCCCACTTCCTGGCTCTTCTGTCCTCTTGGAGGGAATCTTGAGGATGGGTCCCAGAAGGGGGCTTCTTTTTAACCAGACCAGTTGCTGGGCAATGTCCCCATCTTAACTGCCTTCAAGGGCAACAATCTGATGGCCACAACTACCAGGCTTAGGGCCTCTCCCCTGAAGTCAGGCTTCATGGGGAAGGCTAGCAGGCCCCAAGCTGCAGCCAGAAAGCTCTGTGCATTCCAGAGGGCTGGTGAATGCCTCTGCTTCTCACTCTCCATGCTTCCCTAGTAACTATTTAACTGTGTTCTTTATACATATGTATGTGTGTGTGTATATATACATGCACACACATATGTACATATGCGTGTACATATACATATATATGATCCTTTAAAAGTATTTTTATTTTTTAGTTTTCAATGGACCTTTATTGTATTTATGTGCAGTGCTGAGAATCAAACCCAGTGCCTCACACATGCTAGGGAAGTGCTCTACCACCGAGCTACAGCCCCAGCCCTATTTTTTTTTTTTTTTTTTTTTTTTTTAATTCTCCAACACCACCACACTCTGGCCCCAAATGTTTAACCAGCAGGTGCAGCCCAGTGTAGAAACTGAGCTGCCTACAGGCAACATTCCAGCAGGCCTGCCACCCACTGTACTTGCAATGGCTGAGGACAAGTAAGGTCACCTCCTCTCGGGATGATGGCCTGAGGCCAGAGCACTTAATATATTACACTTCAGTGGGGCAGAGAATTTTCCAAGATGAGGCAACTCCCTGGGACCTTGCTGACTGCCCTGCCAAGTGGGTCTTGTCCCCGTATGGGGATTGGAGCACCATCCCCACAGTTGCCCCTCCAGGCCACCAGGCAATCCCAGGCTAGGAGAGCAGTTTTCACCTAGGACAGATTGAGGCTTCTCAATCTGTATGACTTGTAGATAAGCAGGACACTTCCCCAGATCATACTGAGCTTTCTAGCTCATTCCAGGGCAGCATGGCTCAGATAGGGCCTCACCCAGGGTTGTTGTACCCCACTCCTTTTGGAGCCATCTCCTAGAGAGGGCAGGCACAGTCACCAGCATCCCACCTTCTTTTGCTGTGAACCAGGGACCATGGAGTTTATGTCCTGGCCAGAGAGAAGTTAGGAGGAAATGTCCCCACTGAAGTTACTGTTAGGCGGGCCAGGATAGGAGGGGCTGAGAGTCCTGAAGTGTCCACTAGCACCGGTGGCCTTCACACAGGGGCCAGCATCAAAAAGGCACCCTGACTGCCAGAGACAGCCAGTAGCCAGTGTAGACGCAAGTCCCAGATGCAGGCCATAGACAGGCTCCAGGTGCAGCCCCCATTTGCCAAGTCCTTACAGAGGACCTTCAGGGAGGATGAATGAGGCTGGACATCAGGTGTACCATGATAAGGCTTGGAGGATGGGGGATAAGGATCTCTGCTAGAGTGGCAGCACAGAGCTGCTGCTGACTAGCAGACAGGTGTATACACCCATAATGCCTTCCCTCATGCAGGTACCTACAGCTACTCCCACTTCACAGGTTAGGAACAGCAAGTTGAAATCATGGCTTTCTAAAGCCAGTGGACAGCTGTAAACTCAATACTGTTTGCCAATCAGTGAAACTACATCAGACATCTCTTTCCTGGGACTGAAGCTGAACATGTCTAGGGTTTGAGGTGGAGGTGAATTGGGAAGCCAGGGAAGAGGGAGACCAGTAGGCTATGGGGAGGAAGCTTCCTCCCACAAGGGCAGCCATAGGGCTGAAGCCTTGGCTGGAAGCCTTGCTGCTTGCCCTCCCATGTGCAGAATGGCCAGGAGGAGAAAGGGCAGTAGGAATGTCCAAGTTGAGGAGAGGCAGAAAAAGATGAGAAGCAAGTGCAACCCTACCTCCAAAAGACAGAGTGAGTGGTTCTTTTTAATGGTCTTCTTTTTCCTTATAAAATTTTCTGCAAAGCCAACATATATATTTTTATAGCAAAAAGATACTGCATTTCCTGGAAAAATTCTAGGAACTGTGCTCAGATGCCTGTGTGAGAGGTTGCAGGCTGGGCTCACTGGCTAGTCACTCCTGCCCAGGACATAGTCTGAGGAGATGCAGAGTGCAAGTACAGCTCAGTCCTGAGAAAGGGCTGCACTACCAGATCCAGTGCTCTTGGCTTTGCTGTGGACTGCAAAGGAGACAGCTCCCAGAAGTATTCCCTGTTTCTGGATACGATATTGTGTATCAAAAGTTGTATCCCTCCAATATCCTCCAGAAACTCCAGCAGAGGCTGAGGTCACTGAGGAAGATCAAGTGGCACTGTACACTCCTGCATAGCTGAAGACCCCGACCCCATCGGCAGCAACCCGCATGTACTCAGGCTGGGGCAGGAGCAATTATACAGCTCCACCTTGCAGGGCATGGTCAGGAACATCCAAGGACACAGGTAAACCCCAGAAGCAGGAGCAACACCTCACCTAGAGCTTAGCAGAGGAGGATTCGAAGTTTGCCAGCTGCTTGGTGTCATTAGGGGATGTCAGCCAGGCCCCACCATCAACAACCAGCATGGTCCCGGTCACAAAGGAAGCCAGAGGGCTGGCCAGGTAGAGCACACTATGGGCAATCTCCGTCTTGTTTCCCAGCCTCTGCAGAGGGCTCACAAGGGCCTTTGTGCTTACTCTGGCCGGGGAACCACCTAGAGGGCAGGAAGCAGGGGCAGGAAGAGGGGGGCCTGCAGTGACCCCTAAGACCAGGGTCCTCTACCCTCCCTAGCCAGCTCTGCCTCTGAACCACATCTGAAAACGATGGATGGTGCTAATTTCAGCAGGCCTAGTGGAGCAGAACAGGATGGCTTTTCAACCCCCCAGGGTTCAAGCAGTATTTGTCGGTGCCCAGTACCCTGAGTGACCCCATGGCAGGTCATGTTCCCCAGAAGACTTACCCAATCGCCGTAAGCCCTCTGTACCACTGATGGGGCCTGGGGCAAGGCTGTTGATGCGAATGTTCTGGGGACCCCACTCCACAGCCAAGTGCCGTGTCATTGCATCTGTGTGGAAGCTGAAGATTTAGGGAAGGTCTAAGGAAGCAGGGGCTGCTGCTCTGTCTCCTAGAGTGGCTTAGGTGTGAGTGTGGGCCTAGGGTCAAGGCTAGGCCCTTTCCTACCCACCACTGGGCTCAGGATCACCTGGAGAATGTGGCTTCCCAGATGGTCAGGAGAGGACCCCCTGGGAGCCCAAGTTGAAAGACCAGAAGGGTTGCCCATACCCACAGCTGCCTTGGCAGAGCCTGCGTGCACCTGGAGCACCTGCCCCCGGAGATTCAGGGTAGCAGTGATGTTCACGATCACCCCTCCATGGTCCTGTAATACAGGAGGGTGGGTTGGTAAGTCGGCAGCAGGCAGAGGGGAGATCCTGGCCGACAGGACACCCACCCGGAAGAACTTCTCATAGAGCACACGAGACACATTGAAGGTGCCAATGGTGTCAATGTCAACCACAGTCCTGAAGGCATTGAAGGACAGAGCACTGGCGGGACACAAGAAGTTTCCAGCTGCACCTGCAGAGGAGACAGATGATGATGCTGAAGTCTGGGGAAGATGGGGGGCCAGGAGGGCAGAAACCCAAAGGGAGGGTGCACAGTGAGCCCGACACCCAATAGGTGGTGAGCAATGCTGGACAGGGTAGGAGACTAAGTACTTGGATAAGTTCCTGAAAGGCAAGAGTAAGAAAGGACAGTATGTTATCCTCTGAGGAGTTTGGGATCTATAAACGAGACCTTATTTGAAATTAGGGTTTGTTTTATTTTGCTTTTGTACTAGAGATTGAACCCAGAGTGTTCAACCATTGAGCTACATCCCCAGCCGTTTTTTTAATTTTGAGACAAGGTCTTAGTAAATTGTCCAGACTGATCTCCAACTTGTAAGCCTCCTGCTTCAGCCTCCTGGGTTGCTGGGATTATAGGTATGTGCCACTATGCCTGGTAAATACAGGGTCATTTCAGATGCTCTCAAATTGAAGTCATACTGAATTGGGGTGAGCCCTAAATCCCATGATGGTGTCCTTATAAGAGGAGAGGATACAAAGACATGCAGAGGGGAGGCTGTGTAACAACGGAGGCAGAGATTAGAGCCATTGTAGCCCCACTCCAGGAACAAAGGCTTGCCCCACACTCTGCACTAAGATAAAGCCCCAGAGCAGATTTTCTCCTGGAGCATGGCCCTGCTATCACCTTGACTTTGCATTTTCTGGCTTCCAGAACCATGAGAGCATTTCTCCTGTTTAAGTCATCCATTTTGTGGTACTCTAGAAACCAATATAGGAGATGTTTTTAAAGGGAGTTTCAGCAGAGTGAACCTTAATGTAAACTACAGACTGTAAATAATATATATCAGTTGGGTGTGTGGCTACACCTATAATCCAGCAATTCAGGAGATTGAGGCAGGAGGATCACAAACTGGAGGCCAATCTCAGCAACTTAGTGACAGTCTTTTACAAATTAAAAAGGGCTGGAGCCAGGCGTGATGGTGCATATCTATAATCCCAGCAACTCAGGAGGCTGAGACAGGAAGATCTCAAGTTCAAAGCCAACCTCAGGGGCTGGGGATGTGGCTCAAGAGGTAGCGCGCTCGCCTGGCATGCGTGCGGCCCGGGTTCGATCCTCAGCACCACATACAAACAAAAAGATGTTGTGTCTGCCGAAAACCAAAAAATAAAAAAATATTAAAATTCTCTCTCTCTCTCTCTCTCTTTAAGAAAAAAGAAAACAAAACTCTTTCTGGGCTGGAGATGTGGCTCAAGCGGTAGCATGCGTGCCCCCAGGTTCGATCCTCAGCACCACATACAAACAAAGATGTTGTGTCCACCGAATACTAAAAAATACATATTAAAAAAAATTWAAAAAAAAAAAAGCCAGCCTCAGCAACTTAACAAAGCCCTAAACAACTTAGTGAGACCCTGTCTAAAAATAAAAAATAAAAGAGGGCTGCGGAGCTGGCTCAGTGGTTAAACCCCACTGAGTTAAATCCCTAGTACCAAAAAGACAAAGCCAAAAAAAAAAAAAAATGGACTGGCGATATAGCTTAGTGGTAGGGGACCCCTGGGTTCAAGCCAGTGTCATTAAGAAAAAAAAAAAAACAATCAATATTGGTTCATCAATTGCAACAAATGGAAGATGTTAATAATAGGACAACTATGTGGGGTAGGTATGTGGACTTCTGTGAATAAATGGTTAATTATTCTGTAAATCTAAAACTATACTAAACAATGGAGTCTACTACTTTATGTATGTGTTGCTGGCATTGATCCCTGGGTCTTGCAGACATCACTCTACTATTGAGCTGCTCCCCAAGCCCTGTTACTTTTTTTTAACTGGGAATTTCAGGACAAAGGGAACCCCTGACTTGTGATTCAGTCATGTTCATAGAGCATCCTCTTGAGCTGAGACTGAGCTAACCTACCACTTGGAAAGAACAGAGCCAGAGGCCTGGAGCTTGGGTCTTGCAGGTGTGTGGATTAGAGCTGAACCTGGTGCAGGTGCTGGGGCTCTCTGGTACCATCCCTGACCCTCCACCAGAGCTCTGGGTCCTCTCAATTACCATACTATAACTATCAGAAGCCTCTAGCCTCCCTCAGCATCTAAGCACTGTCCAACGCACCATTAATAAGGATATCGATTTTGCCAAACTCCTTCAGTGCCTGGTCCACAGCGGCCATGATGGCTGGGGGAGCTCGGACATCCATAGATAAAGGGAGACACTGCCGGCCAGTAGCAGCAATCAACTTCTTGGCAGCCTAGAGCCAGGAAAAGAGGTGGGTGGCCAGGAAGAAAGGTAGGCCATAGCCCTGGCCTGAAGAAGAACCTTCAGAATCTGATGTAGATGATTAATCTCAGTTCCACTAAGACCCTACTGCTCCCACTCTTGAAGACACCACCTGAAACTGGCCATCTTCTTGGCACTGGTAAAAAATGGGTAAGACATCCCACACTCTCCACTGCCTTTAACCTGTTCCCACCCTGTCCCTCTGGGTCACCCTCCAGGCCATCATCACACATCAATGGAAGCCCAGATGATTTCCAGTCCCCACTTGAATTCAGAGTTTCCCCCCAGGTTGAGGACCTAGTCAGTGGGATGATGACCTTCATTGCCCTGAAGAGCCCAGAGAACTCTCCTGGGGCCAAATTATCTTCTAAAAAATGATCCCCACAGGACAAATAATCAGAATTTTAAGTCAAAGGTGTCTCTGGGAGTCCACTTCCACTGAGGCTCCATATTTGAGAGGGGAGCAAGATTTTGTGTCAGCATCCTCTGGGCCTCAGGACCTTCCCAACCCAAGCTCAGGGCCCCAGAGCCACCTGTGGACAGGCCACAGGAGAGGCTCTCTCACCATGGAAACTCTCAGCAGACTCCTGCTGGCGATGACCGTGTGGCAGCCATGCCTGCAAAACCAGATGGCAAGCCTGAGGATAGCAGTTGTACCAGTGGGTTCCCTCAGGGTCTCAGGTAGAGTATAGCTGGGGGCAGAAGTGCAACTGGCAGAAGGCACAGGGGCCTGAGCAAGACTGAGCAGCTCTGGAGGGACCTCAGGTAGGTACATGGTTGCCCCTCCTACATGGGCCAGGTCTCTGGGATATATCAGCCACATGGGTATGTGGGACATGGTGGAACAGCAGAGGTGAGCCACTGACATCAAGCCCAGACCTTCCAGGTCCCCTACACAGCCCTGTATGCTCCACCCTCCTTCCTAGAGGCTAAGGGGAAGGACAGAGTCTATTCTCAGGCAGGGTGCTCCCCTGGCCCACTCCCTGACACTTCCACCACCAGTACCTGTAGACAAGTTCCATGGGAGACATGGTATCCCAACTAACCCTCACAGGAACTCTAGGCATGGGTGGCCATGTTCTGCATGAGGCCATCAGCCCTAAAGATGAGTCCTCCTGGAGTGGGTGTATCCCAGAGTCTCTTTCCAGTGGAATTCACCTCCACACTCTGTTCATAGCAAAGGGGTCTGAGGCAGCCCACCCTGATCTTCAGCTCTTAAAAGCCTCAGGAGGCTCTGAAGCCACAGCCACACAATCTCCTGATCTATAGGAGACCCCCAAGTCTTGCCACTTCTGGAAGCACTTGGCTCATCCCCAAGATCCAGCCAGGTCCAGGCAAGGGGCAATAAAGAACAGCAGGGGAGGGACCCAGAATAGTGCTCACCGCATGAATATCTCAGCAATCCGGAACCCAATTCCAGAGCCACCTCCTGTGATAAAGGCCACTTTGTCCCTGAAACAAGAAAAGAAGTGACCTTTTAAAAGGTCACTGTTGGACGTGGATATAGCTCAGTTGGTAGAGTGCTTTGCCTCACATGCACAAGGCCCTGGGTTCAATCCCCAGCATCACAAAAAAAAAAGAAAAGTCACTTTTGTTGAGCATGGCAATACACACCTGTTGTCCCAGCTACCCCAGAGTCTGAGGCAGAAGAATCATGAGTTCAAGGTGAACCTCAGCAACTTAGCAAGACCCTATCTCAAAAAAAAAAAAAAAAAAAAGGCTGGGAGTGTATCTCATAGGTAGAGCTCCCCTGGGTTCAGTCTCCAGTGCCACAAAAATAAATAAGGCACATGCCTATAATCCCAGTGACTTGGGAGGCTGAGGCACGTGGATCACAAATTCAAGGCTTCACCAATTTAGTGAGGCCCTAAGCATCTTTTTTTTTTTTTTAGAGAATATTTATTTTTTAGTTTTCAGTGGACACGGCATCTTTATTTTATTTTTATGTAGTGCTGAGCATCGAACCCAGCGTCTGCGCATGCCAAGCGAGCGCAGTTACCGCTTGAGCCATATCCCCAGCCCCCTAAGCATCTTGATGAGACCCTGTCTCAAAAAATGCTGGGGATGTGGTAAAGCGCCCTGGGTTCAATCCCCAGTACCACATAAGTAAATACTGTCAGGGAGGGCTGGTGACCTGTGGAGGACTTTGGTCCCCTGAACAGGCCCTTCCATCCTGTTGGACTTTGTACGAAAATAAAATGCAATCTTTTAGGCTTTCTGGATCTTTTGGGGGTAAAAAATGATTTTAGACCTGGGGTGTAGCTTAGTGGTAGAACACTTACCTAGGGAGCACAAGGCCCTGGGTTCATCCCCAACAGCAAAAAGGACAATTTTAACCAAAATTCTYTGAGAAAGTTATCAACAATACGTTTTCAAAACAGACAACCCCCACCCCCGCAGTCCCTCTAGCCACCTTCCCAAGATTTCTAAGCCTGCCAGTCAAAACGGACATCTCCACTAAGCTCGCGGAGATCCGGATACGAGCATCTGCGCACTATCTAACCGGCCGCAACCCGCTCCCACAGTCTGCAACCCATCCGCATATCCCGCGCGGCCAGGGCAGCCCAGCTTCGCGCTCACTGGAGCAGGTCCGGGCAGAACAGGTAGCGGTACTCAGGAAGACATTCGTCCTCTTCCACGTCGGGCGGCAGCTGAGCCATGGCGCTCGGGGCAGGTAGCAGGACAGGTGGCAGGAAAGCCGAAGCCTCTAGGCTCCGAACTTGAGGCCACCAGCCCTCCGCCCCAACCAACCAGGATTGGAGACCCGCCGGCCACGCCCCAGAGGCCCCCGGATTCCTCGCCCCTCCCATCCCAGGATGCCCCACCACAGGCTCCTTCCCCGGACTTCCCACCCCGCCTCTCCGGGCGCGGGGTCCACTGGGAGTGGGCGGGGCCGCGCACAGCGGGGCGCAGGCGCAGTAAGGGGTGAAATCGCGTTTTGTTAGTCCTTCCCACCGATGATGGTAGGCGACCGTTCTCCACTGACACTCAGACAACTGGACTAAGGCCAGTTCGTGGGGCGCTCGGCGTGCGGACGTACCCGCTTCGCGGACAGCTTTCCCCGTGGTGGATGACCTCGGGAAACTGGGGCCGAAAAGGCCGGGGCGTGCACGCAGGACTGCCCCTGTGCCGGGTGGAAAGCGTCTCGGCACTTCGCCCATGCCATCGGTAGCTGCTCAGAGGCCGATGCTGAGAATCCAGACCCTAGACCTCCGTCGCTCCGTGTCAAGTGGGGAAGTGACAAGCAGGTCGGCCTCCCTGTAACCTGGGCTATAGAGAAGCAACCTCAGGACCCATGGATGTGAGCAGCTTGTGGCAACGTGAAGATGTGCGGACGCCAAGTGGGCCCGGTGGCGCTGGCTTTTAATTCCAGCAGGTCAGGAGGCAGAGGCAGAAGGATGGCAAGTCCGAGGCCAACCTCTGCAGATTTAGGGAGACTGTCTCTAGAATTTTTTAAAAAGTCTGGAATGTAACTCAGTAGTTGAGCACTTGTTTAGCATGCATGAAGCCCTAGGTGCAATTGCCAGTGCCAGAAAAAAAAAAAAAAAATACTACTGCTGGGTAGCTCTTGGTGTTGAATGAAATCAGGCCACTAAGTGGGAGGCACCATGGTCACAGGCTCATTGTGCCTTGTGTGGTCCTAGTCCCTACCTCTCCCTTCCTGCCACTCTCCTTCAGCAGAATCAGACTGGCTAGGCAGAGTTCCGCTAGAATTTCCCCAGATTTCAGGCTGGAGGGCTCTGGACTCCTGCCTGATTCATACAGTCATCAAAGTCAGGGAGCCCCTTCTGTGTGTGCAAGGCAGGAAGCTTCAATTTTATTACTACTTCATAAAAGCATCTTTACTGTCTCAGAAATGGCAGAAGACAAAATGAGCACACCACCCCCATTATAAGCAGTGGATTTTAATGTGTCTCCTTTGGAGCAGTTAAGGTAACCTCTGAGGATGCCCAAAGGTTGTCTGGCACTTTGGTACAGAAGGATTTGGTCCAATCTTGTGCTGACTTAGGATACAGAAAGGCACATAGAGTTGGGCCTCAAACTCCCTTGGGCTGTGGTGGGGAAGAAAGTGAGCAAGAAAGTGGCTTGGGGGAGACAGGATGGGTGTGGCTTGAGTTGTTGACCAAAGCAGTTGGTCCTGGGTGGTTGCTGGGGCACTGAGGGCAGCACAAGCCCTCAAGCTGGGTAGCTGCTGCTGTAGTGGCCCCCATCTGCCCAGTTCACCAGCTCGCTGCTCTGGAACCACAGCTGGATCTCTCTCTGGGCCCCTTCCACTGAGTCACTGGCGTGGATGATGTTCCTGTGCCAGGTGACAAGTAGCTTAGTCTCCAGTGTGCAYCCGAGGGCCCTAGGGTCAATCTGCTGCTCCCCTGCACCCACAGGAGCAAGTAGGTGACTGCAGAAGGAAAAGGAAAAATAGGAGCCAGAAAACTGCCAGGCCAGCCTCTTGGGGCCAGCCCAAACCCTGATTTTTGGGAGCCTTCTTTCCCCACCAGTGTCCCACACCAGCCCTTCAGGGTATCTGGCAGGACAGATAACACACAACACAGAGTACAGTCAAAACAACAAACAATGAGAATGTGTCATYATCAATAAGTGCATGGAAGGGCAGGGAAAGAAGTTGTTCTAGTTAGTATTATTCATGATGTCCCACTGTCAAGCCTCTTTGGCTTCACCCCCCACCAAGGGTGGGGAAAGCTCTGACACATTTCTGTGACTGAGTGCCTCAGCACCCAGCGGGGGAGTGTGACCCAGTTACCTGCAAGGTTGGTCTCCCACAGCTTCACCCGCCACCCAGCAAGAAACCCAAGCCTTGGGATCTGCCTTCAAAGCATGCTGTTGCTGGAATGGCCCTCCTCACCCCACAGCAGGCAACCCAGGTATCAGGCTCCCAGTACCTGCTGATGTGGATGCTGAAGTCCCCCCGGATGGTCCCAGGGGCAGCCTCAGTGGAGTCACTGTGTCCTATCATGGCCCTTGAGGCGCGGACCACATTGTACCCTTCCCAGACCTGCAGTACAGAGCTACAAGTTGGGGAGAAGTGAGGAGCACCAAGAGCCCAGGGCTCAATCCTTTCCCTGTGCTTGGTGGAGGACACACCCACATTGCACATCCTCCACCCTGGTCCGGTCATACCATTGCCACCACGGGCCCAGAGCTCATGTAGCTGATGAGGGCTGGGTAAAAGGGCTTCCTCTGTAGGTCCTGGTARTGCTCAGCAAGGATGCTCTCAGGTGCCTAGGTAACATGGAAGAGGGGTAAGGAGTCCCTAAAGATGAGCCTGCCCCCAAAAAAACTGGTGTCCTGACCTCAGGGCACATTGCAGTTAATACCTACACAGGCTGGCATCCCAGACAGACACCTCCCCACACCTGCAAATACCAAGCCAGAAAACCCCCATGACACTGGATTGAGCTGTGAATGGCCAAGAAGCACCCCYAGTACCTCAAACACTACAAGGGCTCTGATACCTGCAGCATCTTCATGCCAACCAGCTTGAAGCCCCGCCTCTCAAAGCGCTGGATCACAGCTCCGATGAGCCGCCGCTGTACCCCATCTGGCTTCACTGCAACCAGGGTGCKCTCCTGGGTCCAGGAGGGCCCTCCTTTAAAAGTGGGGAAGTTTAGGGCTGCCATTACCTCACCCTTTCACATCTCCCCAACCTGAGTTCCTGCCTGGGCCCAGACAGCACTAGGCTTCAGAATGCCTTTTTGCAGGGCAGCTCTAGAAGGAACAAGCACAGCACTCCCAAACAGGAACTACCTCCTAGCACTGCCTCCCAGGGGTACCCAAGGCAGCCTGTCCCCACAGGTTTCTCCCACACAGTGGCAAAAACTGCCCAAGACTGGTGCAGTGGTGTACACCTGTAATCCTAGCAGCTCAGGAGGCTGAGGCAGGAGGATTGTGAGTTCAAAGCCAGCCCCAGCAACTTAGTAAGACCCTATCTCAAAAAAAAATTTAAAAAGGGCTGAGGATGGGGGCTGGGGATGTGTCATAAGCGTTGGCAAGCTCTCCTGGCATGCGTGTGGGCCAGGTTGGATCCTCAGCACGACATACAAAGAAAGATGTTGTGTCCACCGAAAACTAAAAAAGAATAAATATTAAAATTCTCTCTCTCTCTCTCTTTAAAAAAAARGGGGGGGGCTGAGGATGTAGCTCAGTGGTTGAAGGGTCCCTGAGTTCAATCCCTGATACCAAAAATAAATAAATAAAATCTGCCCAAATGGAGAATGGAGCTAGCTTCTTTTGAAACGCATCTTAAAGCCAGACATGGTGGCACATGCCTGTAATCCCAGCAGCTTGGGAGGCTGAGGCAGGAGGGTTGCAAGTTCAATTGCAGCCTCCACAATTTAGCAGAGCCCTCAGAAACTCAGATCCTTTCTCTAAATAACATATAAAAAAGGGGCTGGGACTGTGCCTCAGTGGTTGAGTGCCCCTAAATTCAATCTTGGGTACCAAAAAAGAAAAAAGGCATCTTAATTAGTCCTGAAACCAGGGAGGCCCAGCCTGGCTTAGCCTGAAGCCCACCTGGGGACCTGGAGAAGCTACACTGGAAAGTGCACACCACTTGTCCTTAAGGAAATGGCAGGTGCTGTCTGAACCCCAGCCCTGTCACATTGTGAGGAGCCCGGAGCCACCTCTGGTGTAGGCACCCAGAAGAGGGGAAGTGCAGATGAGCCAGGCAGTGGGGACACAAGGGGCTTAAGACTGAGAGGAAAGATGGAGGGGTTCCTATTCCTATCCATAATTGAGGAGACTGGCGCCAGGCAGGAACTCAGCAGCTGTAGGACATCAGGCTTGACTCAGACCAGTCCTGAGCCTCTCTCCAGAGGGCACTGCAGGGGGGGGGGCACCCTCATAGTCCTGCAGCCCCAAAGCACTCCCAGAGCAAGGAGCATCCCAGACCTCGGATGCTGCACAGAAGAAGATGGGCAGAATGAAGGAAAAATACCAAGCCGCAGGCCAGGTGTAGAGCTCCATCCTCAGGAGGAAAATTAACCACGACGTGCAGTGCGCAGGGCAGCAAATGGAGGGGGATCAGCACACCCCTCGGGGCTGAAGGAACCGGGCAAAACCTCCCTCCACTAGCTTATTTGTTTCCCAAACCAGCGATGGTGCTGGCTGGTTTGTGCCTGGGGGAGGCCGTCCGCTTTCCAGAGCGCATGGAAGAAAAACGATATTTGGCTCTCAGGAAGCGCACTGAGGGGAGGCCGTCAGGGCAGGGGTCCCACGCAGGGCTGGGCCAAGCAGCCTTGGGCCTGGTGTCCCGACTCTGGCCCAGTTTGTCCAGGAACTGAGGGCCCCGGCAACAAAGGCTCCACAGGGAGTCCCCTATAAGACATCGGTCCACTGGGACCGCCATCACGCTCAGGGTTGCCATCTGGCCTTTGGGTTTCTTCTGCTCTGGACCTTCGGCACCCCCCCCCCCAGCCAAGTAGCCTGAGGCTTTGCGGCTGCTGGGCCCCGCAGGGCGGGAATGCAAGGAGGGCGCAGGGCCAAGCCCGCGCCGGGGCCGCGCTTCCCGGCTGCCCGCCGCACGTGCGCGAACAAAGACCGGGGCCGCCCTCCCTCCTCCCGCCCGCCGGACTCACCCGAGCTGGGGCGCACCAGCTGGCGCGGCCCGCACAGCAGCGCCCGAAGCGCTGCACGCCCGTAGAAGCCGCCCATGATGCGGGCCAGCCCGGCGCCGCGCGCTGCGAGGCCAGGGCGGGGCGGGGCCGCGCTTCAGGACCGCCCCGCGCGCCCCAGGGGAGACCTGACGGGCCCCACTCCCCACTCCCCACTCCCCACTCCAGGCACGTGGAAACCCTCCGAGTCGGTTTCTGTTAATATCTGAAGCAAATAAAATTTAATAATGAGACCCAGCTAGAGTTAGTTCTGCCTCTGTTACCAACGCAACTGTTTAATATTGGAGACGGAGTCAGGACAGGGCGCTCTTAGGGCTCCAGGCTTCCGGATTCTTCTTCCTAATTAGGAGGAAAAGACCGGTCACCGGCCCTGGAGCCCAATAGGGAGCTAACAACAGGCACTTCCCTTAGGGGCTATGTAAGTCCCTAAACCACACCGCTGCTGCTGCTGCTGCTGCTACTGCTGCAGACGCTTCTGCCTCTACTGTAGCCTGCGCTGAATAAACCCACCTCTGGATGACCTTGTGTGCTCCCTCACTTTCATACTTAGAGTGGTGGGGTCTTTCATTAATGCCGTGACTCAGATTGGGCTCCCCTCACCCTCACTAGGTGAGGACCCCAATCCGAACTCACCCCCACCGGCCCCAACTCGTCCCCAGTCCATTTCCTTGGTTGCAGGACCCATATCCACCACGGGTCTTCAATTGGTAAGTTTCCCGCTTCTTGCTCACCCCTGCAGGTGGACTCTCAGGGGAAACTGACCATGGGTCGTCAGACAGTACCCCTGACCACCTGTGGGAGGGGAATACACCCAGCCTAGGCCTTTAATCCTCCTACCCCGCAGCCCTGGGCACCCCCCACCCCCCGCATTGATACGGCCTACTTATCGGTGACAAGTACTGCTTTCCCACGCAGTTGATGTTTGAATATTAGAGAAGCATGCTGAGGCAAGCATATGAAGCAGGGTTTATTTAAAAAGGGGTGACAGACTTCTCCTGCCAGGGAGAAGGGGGCCATAGCTGGTATCCCGTCATCCCAAGAAGTGAGGTATTCCGCCCTTTTTATATATGTCCTGGGCTTCCTTTGTTCTCCTGCCTTTTCCCCCTAATCTTTCTCCTTCCTGCATACTTGACTAGGCCCAGGAATGCTAGGTGGGAAGGCCAAAAGGTGGGAAACAGGTGGGCTGAAGGGGGAAGGGCAGGATGGAATAGGCCAGGACACATTAACAACCTTAAAGCTCCCTGTTGGGAGGAGGAATTCCTGGGACAGGTTACCTGGGCAACAGGTTGGAGCTGGGGCTGGTTCTTGATAAGATCCCACAGGGGACTGTCTCCAACTTCCCAGACTCACTCAAAATTGGTCTCCTGGATCCAACCTGATACCTATCTGCACTGACTGCCTGTCTAATTCTGGCTTCAGCATCACCCCATCACTTCCCCAGCCCCCTTTTAGTCCCCCTACAACCTGTTATAAAACTCAACCTTTCTTCACATACTATCTCCCCCCTCCGCGAAGTGGCCGGTGCTGAAGGCATTGTGAGGGTTCATGTTCCCTTCTCCCAAAGAGAGAAGTGCCTGGGCTCACACACTTCCAACCCCTCCTCATACACTGAGGAATTTCAATACCTTTTTTAGGCTTTAACCTCACTTTTCACAACATTTACATGATCCTGGCCAATACTCTTCTCCCAGAGGAGCACAGATGAGTCTGGGTGCAAGCCCATAATTACGCTGATGAGGTTCATCAAACCACCTCAGCTCACCCACCTGATAGGCACTCAGGCAGTCCCTGACCAGGACCCTAATTGGGACTATAATACTGCTGCAGGATTAGCCCTGAGGGACCAATTTTCCACCTGCCTAGCTGCCAGACTCAGACAGGCAACTCAGAAGGCAGTTAACTTCAAAAATCTCCAAGAGATCATTCAAGACAAAAATGAGAACCCCCTCCACTTTATCTTAGATAGGCTGACTCAGGCCCTCCAACAATATGCTAATTAAGACCCCAAAACTCCTGATGGGAGACAGTTCCTAACAACCCAGGCAAGCGCGCTACCGCTTGAGCCACATCCCCAGCCCAACAACCCATTTCTTCTCCCAAAGCTACCCCAACATAAAGGCCAAACTAAACAGGTTGGAAAGAGGGCCTCTCACCCCACAGAGGTGCTGGYGCTGGCCTTCAAGGTCTACAATAATAGGGAGGAAAAGGCCAAATCACACAAGTACCAGATGCTGGCTCAGGCCATTCGGGCGTCCGGCCCCCCCTTCATCCTCTAAAGGACCTCTAAATGGCCCACCAGGGCCATGCTTCAAATGTGGAAGGGATGGCCACTGGGTCAGGGCTTGCCCTAACCCAAAGGTTCCTATCCAACCCTGCCCAAAGTGCCAGTGTCCCGGTCATTGGGCTGTGGACTGCCCTGGAACCCGAAGGGGGCCAGGGAGGCCCACAGCCTCACATATGACCTTCTGGGACTAGGGGCGGAGGACTGACAGGACCCTAAGGTTTCCTTCCCTGACCGCCATCACAACACAGGAACCAAGGGTCACACTCATTATGGACAAACACCCATGTCGGTAGGCGCCCAAACCTTCATGCCTAGGATCACTCCCCTAATCTCCTGCTCATTCCTCAGGGTCATATTCTCCCACCAATTCTTGGTTATGGCCCAATACCCAGTTCCCCTGCTAGGGCGAGACATCCTCTTCAAATTTGAGACATCCATCACTTTCTTTTTTTTTTTTTTTTAAGAGAGAGTGAGAGAGGGGAGAGAGACAGAGAGAGAATTTTTTTTTAATATTTATTTTTTAGTTCTCGGCGGACACAACATCTTTGTTGGTATGTGGTGCTGAGGATCGAACCCGGGCCGCACGCATGCCAGGCGAGCGCGCTACCACTTGAGCCACATCCCCAGCCCAAGACATCCATCACTTTCAATCTCGACAAGTCTCTTACATTCTCTCACTAATCATGTCCCCTTCAATAGAGGAGGAACTCCCCCTTCCCTTTCCCCCAAAGTCAACCCCCAGGTATGGGACACCACAAACCCATCACTTGCACACTGCTCCCCCGTTATTATTACTTTAAAACATCCAGATGCCTATCCATGTCAACCCCAATATCCGCTTCTCTCTGCCAGCCTGATCAGCCTACAGCCCATCAGTCAAGATCTCTTAACCAAGGACTTCCTCAGACCCACCCACTCTCCTTTCAACACTCCTATTCTAGCAGTGAAAAAACCTAATGGCACCTTTCATTTAGTTCAAGATCTCCGGCTGATCAATGAGGCTGTTAAACCCATACACTCCTTGATTCCAAACCCATATATCATCCCGTCCTCTATACCTCCTTCCTCAACTCACTTCTCAGTGGTGGATCTCAAGGATGCTTTTTGCTCTATCCCCTTGGCCCCACAGTCCCAGGACTTCTTTGCTTTCACACAGATCCTGAAACACGCCAGTCTCGCAAACTGATCTGTACGGTCTTACCCCAGGGCTTCCGGGATAGCCCCCTATATTTGGACAAACTTTGGCCACTGATCTAGAGACCTGTCCCTCTCACAGACCCGATTACTATAATATGTAGATGTCCTACTCCTCTGTAGTCCCTCCCTGGAATAATCACAGAATGACATCTCACTTCTTTTCAATTTCCTAGCTGAAAGGGGATACCGGGTTTCTCCTGCTAAAGTCCAACTTTCAAAGGCCCAGGTTACCTACTTGAACCTGTCCTGTCCACTGCTCCATGGCTACCACCACCAATCACAAGACTTATATCAAGCAACTACAGACTCCCAGCACCATAGAGGAAATCCTTTCATTCCTGGGGCTAGCAGGATACTTTAGAACATGGATTCCCAGCTTTTCTCTCTTAGCGAAACCCCTATATGACCCTGTCAAGTCTTTCCCCTCCAAGGTCCCTACAGGAGACCCCGTTCAGCCTTTCCAAAAACTCCAGCAAGCCCTTTTGCAAGCCCCAGCACTGCAACTGTCTGACCTTCAAAGACCATTCCTTCTGAACTGCCATGAGAACCAGAATCTATCCCTAGGAGTGTTGGGTCAAATGTTAGGCCCCTTGTTTGACCCTGTGACTTATCTGTCTAAACAGTTAGACCCTACTGTTTGGGTGTGGTCACCATGTCTCCACACCCTGACAGTGGCCTATATCTTGCTCCTGGAAGCTACAAGGTTAACTTTTGGAGCACCTATAACAATTGCCAGTACCCATCATCTCAAAGAACTCCTAAGATACAAGGGACTCCAGACTCTCCTGCCTTGCTGCATCCTTTCCCTCTTAGTGACTTTTATACATGACACCTCTACCTCCTTCCTGGCTTGCGTGCCCTTAAACCCTGCCTCCTTGCTCCCCATTTCATCTACTCATCCCTTACACAACTGCAGGGAGGTCTTGAACTACCTACACTCAATCTTCCACCCCAATCCCCCAAGCCCTACAGACTTTTCTCTCCACCTTTTTTACCGTCTTCAACAATCAGTTCATTAAAGACATCACCACTGCTTGCCAAGTCTGCCAGCAAGTCAACCCACAAACCCCCCTAAAACCAGGAACCTTTCCTACTCATCAAGCTCAAGGTCACATCCCCAGAGCCAACTGGCAGGTTGACTTTATGCACATGCCTGCGGTGAGGTGTTATAAGTACCTTCTGTTCTTTATTGCTACCTTCTCAGGCTGGGTCGAGGAATTCCCCACATACCACAAGACAGCCTCCACTGTGGCCGCCTTCTATTAACTGACATTATACCAAGATTCGGTTTACCCAAGTCCTTCCAGTCGGACCTGAATTTATCTCTCAGATCACACAACAAATCACAGCATTCCTAGATTACCCTGGCACTTCCACATCCCTTACCATCCACAATCATCTGGCAATTGTTATAGGTGCTCCAAAAGTTAACTTTGTAGCTTCCAGTCACACTGTTAAAGAAATTTTAACCCAACTTTCCCTCGAGGTTCACTGCGACTAGGTCAAGCTACTTCCCATGCCTTATTCCACCTTAGAGTACTTCCAAAGAAACTCTCACAACTCTCACCTTTCGAGGTCCTTTATGGACAGATGCCCGGTTCTGCCCCCTGGCCTCACTC